GTTTCCTTTCTCGATCATGTAATAAGTCTGGTAACTGTAAGATCATAAATATAACTATAATTAATTAAGTTGTCATTGTGTATTCGTATCTGCAACCGGTCATGGTAGCTGAGCGGTCTAAGGCATGTACTGTCTTCGTTGGCTTGGAAACCGGGATCGTGGGTTCGAATCCCACTCAGGGCATTGATGTTTAGTTTGTGTGTGCGTTTTTCTGTCTTTGTGTACAGGTAGAGGCCTTACGACGAGCTGATCACCCGCCCAAGGAGTCCTACCGAATGTGTAAGATCTAGAAAAACCGAAGTGAACGAAGAAGTTCATGGAGGTAGGCCTAGGCCCACTGGGGCTGTAGGACCAAGGAAAAAAAATCGTATCTGCAAGCTTTGAAGCTGTTAGGCTCCTTTGTGCAATCTTCTGTAAAGCACGATGTTGTTTTTTAATTATTGTTATCAAAACAACATTTAAGGAAGAAAGTCATCTTCTGGGAGCTGGCGCCGTGTATTCTTGGTTTTAACAGACGTTTAGGAGGAACTCCCCTGCGAGTGCGGCAAGGTCTGCATTGGGCAAACGGGCCGTTCTGTGGACACCAGGTTGAAAGAACATCAACGGCATTTACGCCTAGAACATCCGGACAAGTCAGCCGTAGCTGAACACAGCATCGAGCTAGACCACCGTATCCAGTTTCACAAAACCGCCATACTCACCTGTAAGGGCCGTTACCTGGATCGCATCATCATGGAGGCCATTGAGATCGAGCTCCATCCGAACAACATGAACAAGGAAACAGGGTTTTGTCTCAACAAGTCATGGAAACCTCTCATCTCTTCCCTCAAGAGAACTCCACAGAGCCACCCCAGTTCTTCTTCATGTCATTGACGTCAGTAGCCTGTCCCATGTTAATCATGTCATTGACGTCAGTAGCCTGTGCCCAGTTCATGTCATTGACGTCAGTAGCCTGTCCCCAGCCAACCGGTTCTTCTTGTTTATCGGCCACCTCCCTGCCATTGACCTCCAAGTTGCCGGGATTCACTGGCCGGTATTCCCCCCTTTCGCCCCCAGACCAAATATGGCCTTAATAACTGTTCACTCTTCCCATTGGTCCTCTCTCCCAAACCACCCTTGCCTACTTCATATATAAACTAGCGCTTTTCACTTCCCAATCATTGCAGCTACTGCTCTCTGTACTCGCAATGCTATTCAACTGCCCTGAAGATGGAGGCGATATGTTCCTCCGAAACGTCGGTTAAAACCGAGAATACACGGCGCCAGATCCCAGAAGACGACTTTCTTCATAGTCATCGCTGTGAAAACCTCAAAACTAACATTTAAGGAAGTTCTACAATCTGTAAGATTTGAAGTTTGACAGCCCTGGTTATGAAGAGTGCTATATTCTGGAATGTAACGCCGTGTTGTCTGTTGAAAGTCAACCGAAATTTCGGAGGAACATGTAGATTTCATCTTCAATAGACTCTGCTTGTCATCTGATTTCACACTAGTTTCTTGCTCTGGCTTATTCTTCAACCTTGAAAATGTTGGTTGACTTT